CCAGTGGCCTTGTAATACAATTTGATATCAGGTACTGTGATCCCTCCTACTTTGTTCTTCTGTATCAAAATTGCTATATCCTAAGAACCCTAAAACACCAATCCAAAAGAACCTATGCACCCCAATGTTCATAGCAGCACATTTACAATAGCCAGGAGCTGGAAGCAACCTAGATGCCCGTCAGTAAATGAATGGATCAAAAAATTATGGTACATATACACAATGGAATTCTATGCAGCAGAAAGAAAGAAGGAGCTCCTACCCTTTGCAACAGCTTGGATGGAACTGGAAAGCATTATGCTGAGTGAAATAAGCCAGGCATTGAAAGACAAATACCATATGATCTCACCTTTAACAGGAAGCTAAACAACAAAACAAACAAGCAAGTAAAATAAAAACAATGACACTGAAATAGAGAATGGGGGACAGCCACCAGAGGGGAGAGGGGAGGAATTTCAGGGGAAAAAGGGAAAGGATTTGCAGGAACTAGTATAAAGGACACATGGACAACAACTAAGAGGGGTGGAAATGGGAGGGAGGTGGGGAGCATGGGGGGTGGGCTGGGATGGGAGTAAAAGACAGAGAACTGTACTTGAAAAATAATTAAATAAAAAATTATTTTAAAAAAAGAATCAACCAAGGAATGCATGAATAAGTGCAGCAAGAAATGAATGGCTTTTTCTCTCTGTCTCTCTCCCTTCCTCTCTCTCTAAAAATAAATCAATTTTTAAAAAATTCTTTGGAGATATATATATATTATTACTGAAACGCCTTCTAAAGCTTCTGGTTTGTGGTTTAGAATATAAGGAGCTCCATCCCATATAACATAAAATAGAATAAAATTAAGTTCAAGATTTTTTAAAGATTTCATTTACTTATTTTTAGAGAGAGGGGAAGAGGGAAAGAAAGACAGGAAAGAAACACCAATGTGTGGTTGCCTCTCATGTGCCCCCTTACTGGGGACCTGGCCCACAACCCAGGCATGTGCCCTGATTGGGAATCAAACCAGTGACCTTTTGGTTCACAGGCCAGCACTCAATCCACTGAGCCACACCAGGCAGGGTGAAATTCAAGATTGTTTTAAAAAACACAATGGGGGGGGGGCTGTAGAGTACTAAACTAGTCTTAAATTTATTTACTGTATTAAATTTATTTATTTTTCTAACTTTTTCTATCTGACTTATTTTGCTCAGCATGATATTCTCAAGGCCCATTCATGTCAGAAACGGCAGTATTTCACCTTTTCTGATGGCTGAGTAGTATTTCATGATGTATATGGAATACTACTCAGTATATATGGACCTCGTCTTCTCTATCCAATTATCCAATCAAGGTATCAAAAGATACCTTGGTTATCTCCCTCTTGGCCACCATGAATAATGCTGCAGTGAACATAGGAGTGCATAAATCTTTGCTAATAAGTGTTTCTGAGTTTTTTTGGTAGGTATCCAGAACAGGGATTGCTGGCTCATATGACAGCTCTGTTCTTAATTTTCTGAGGAACCTCCGTACTGTTTTCTATAGTGATTGTAGCAGGTTGCATTCCCGCCAGCAGAGTAAGGGTTCTTTTACTCTCCACAACCTCTCCAACATTTGTTATTACTTGTAAATAACAACCATTGTAAGAAATGGTATCTTTTTTTTTTTTAGTTAAAATTCTTTATTTCTTCTGTAGTTTTTTCAGTCACCTTATATATTATATAGTTTTGAAATGGTCTATAAAATACTATAAAAAATACAAATTTCAAATACCTCCTTATATCTGAAGATTAATACTAAAAAGTTTTCATGTTTCTTATCAAAGTTTGTTGACATGTACATAATATCATTCTTGTGGACACCTAAGAATCAATAATTATGCATGTGGTCAGAGAAGAAATATAAATTGACAATTGTTTGTTTTGTATTTTTCTCATATAACCAGAAAAGTACTGTTGTGAAAGTAAACATGTTATTGTGGTGTTTTCAAAGCTTTTATAATGTTTTTTTTTAATTTTTTTTTAAATTTTATTTAGTTATTTTTCAAGTACAGTTTTTTGTCTATTTTTCCCATCCCAGCCTCCCCTGCCCCTTGCTCCCCACCTCCCTCCCATTTCCTCCCCCCCCCTTAGTTAAGGGGAAAAAGGGGGAGGGATTTGGAGGAACAAATAGGAAGGACACAGGGACAAGAAATGGTATCTTATTGCAGTTTTGATTTGCATTTCCCTAACAGTTAGGGAAGCTGAGCATCTTTTCATAGATCTGTTGACAATTGGTATGCCTTCTTGGGAGAGGTGTCTGTTCAGGTCCTCTGCTTGTTTTCTAATTAGATTGTTTGTTTGTTTGGTGTTGAGTTCTATGAGTTATCTATATATTTCAGAGATTAATCTTTATTGGAGCTGTTGTGTTTAAATATCATCTCCCATTTTGTTGGTTGCCTTTTTGTTTTGTTGGTTGTTTCTTTGGTTATACAGAAGCTTTTGAGTTTGATATAATCCTATGCTTTTTTTTTTCTTTTTTGCCTTTACTTGCCTTGCCATTGGGTCCAATTAACAAAATGTTCTCTTCAATCTAGACCCACAAGCTTAGTACCTACATTTTTCTTGTAATAATGAACTGTATCAAACCTTATATTTAGGTCTTTGATTTGGCCTGGTTAGTTCACTGGCAGCTTCAACTTCCTGTTTCAGTATGTTTCTGCAGGGTTTTCAGAGTCACGAATTTGAAGCTAACATAGCTCAGACTGGGAGCAATGCTTCTTCTAACTCTCTATATCCTGCAATGGAACTCAGTTGTCAGTGCTATAGGTAAAAAACCCATCTATGCTTCCACAAATACTTCTGCCTCTTCCTTCTACCTGGAGCATGAGACTCCATGGTGTACATCCAGTGCATTTTACTTAACCACTCTGAAAATCACTATATTCTGGATCTTTGTATGTGTAAATCTGTGAATGTCTTCAACAATTACTGTGAGCAAATCCCAAAGTTTATCCAAACTTTCAAAATAATCTATATAGTGACACAGTGTATAATGGACAGAAGAAATGGAATATAAAGATCAAAAATTTTTTGTTGCTGTTGTTCTTTTTATTTCAAAATCTTCCTCTGCCATTACTGCCATCATTATTAGCCCAGTTGGTAGAAACTAATAGCAAAATCTATATATGTATTTGTATATGAAAGAAGTATGTCACTAGCTGCTGGGGAAATCCTAGAGCAATGTCTTTCAAAATGTGGCTTCCTTTTCATATTTTGTGAAGAATCAGAGATTATAGTTTTTCTATTTGTAAGCTATTTCACCCACCACAGTTCATAGACAATGGCAGAATAGAGCAGATTTCTGGGTCAGAGACAAAGAACTTGAACTCACAGTACGCAGCATGAACTTCATGTTTGTGTCAACTCCCTTGTTGCCAAGTCCCACAGGACACATGCAGAGCAGTGCAGGTGAATGCTGCATACACGGTAGGTTTGTGTCAAAACTGACAATCCAGGACCATAGGAAATTCCTAGGTATTACAGGGAAGATTGCTAGAAAGCTTATCCCATATTTACCCCAGCATAAGACATTACCTTTACTATACCGGTCAAGAAACAAATCTGCCCTCTGCCCAGAAGGGAGATTCTATTACATCATGCAAAACTTCTTGCTACATGATCACGCATCAAAAGATACTTTATAACTAAGTCCATTAGTGCCATATATGGTCTGAATTTTGTCATCTCAATTTCATATTTAAATATTAACTCCCAAGGTGAGGGTACTAGGAAGCAGGGTCTTTGGGAAATGATTATACTATGAAAGTGGTGTGCTCATGAATGGGATTAGTGCCCATACAAAAGAAGCCTGAAAAAGCCCCATTGCCCATTCCACCATGTAATGTTACAGTGGGAAGATTGTTTATAAAGAAGAGGATTCTTACCAGACACTGAATCTGCTGACACTTCTGTCTTGGACCTCCCATCCTGCAAAACTGGGAAAAATGAATTTCTGTGGTCATAAGTTACCTTTTCTATGGTATTTTGTGAGAGCAGCCTGAAGACACTAAGACAATGCTAGTGCTCATGCAAACATGAGACACACCTGAAGAATTATGTCTCAACAATCCATTAGTGGGTCATGAAATCTCTTTAGAGCATCACAACCCACAGCGTGGCCCACCCATGTGCCTCCCTCATCCACTCCACACATACCATGATATGGAGGTGTACAACCCTCATGCTTCCCCACCTGTAGCAGACCCTGTCCAGCCAAGTCCGCCTGTTGTGGCTGATGACAAGAATCAATGCACAGGCGACAACAATCCTGTGGAGAAAAAGGGAACAGGCACAGCCACTCTCTCAAGGGGAGAGTGCCTATAGGTGCCTCGGCCACTCCCTCAAGAGGGGAGTGCCCGGACCCTTGCCTAGACAGGCTTTCATTGTTCTCCTGGGGTCTTACATCAAAGAAAGATTTATTATCTATCACATAGAATATTATTATCTACATTCTATGTACAATCAAGGAAATAAAAATAACATGCAAAGGGGGGTGGCAATGAACTGATTAGCTCTGTCCTTGGGAGAGCTCACATAGGCTTTGGAAATTACCTTGGAGATAGACAATACACATCTGTTGCTTTAAACCAGGGTGAGGGAGTTTTAGCAAGAGCTAGCTATAACAATCTGTAAGCATTTTTTAGGCCTGATTCCCACAGGAAAATTCAGTTTGAAGGTCTGGCTCCTGCCCACCACTTTGCATCTGTAGGTTTTCCATACAGTGCTGAGGCACATTTACCAGACCAAGACAAACTGGTCCCCTACACCCACCCTCCATGCTTCCCCACCCCCATGCCTCTCCCATCCCCCACCCTAATGCCTCCCCACCCCTTCCACACACCCCTGATGTGGCAGATGTTCACCAGTTCACCACATGCCCACAAAGATGGGGAAAGGACGCCTCCCAGAAAGCAGTCAAAAGACAGCCTATTCAACAGCCAGGTGTTTTATTAAGGTTGTGGTTTATCATTTACTTCTCACTCACATGGCGTATTTTCTCGTCCAAGCTTGCGCCATAGTATTATACTTAACCCTATTCTTCAAGTACATTCTCGCAATGGATGGAACTAAGGTGTAATTGAGGTTGGGGTTGCATAGCATGGAGGTGATGGATAACAATACTTTGTATATGGTAAGCACAGGCGACCACTGGGACTTAAGAATATCTACATGGATATGACCTCTTTTGTCAATATTGGGATGGAATATCCGGGTGGTGAAGTAAATCCATGGAGGTTGAAAGGGGTAATCGTGTGAGAAGTATATATTTAGGGAGAAGACCCCTCCCTCATAGGGGCTGTTGGGGGGACCCATGATGATCCCCCTCCATGTGAACATGTCATTCCCCACCGGCCCCGCGGAGCACAAGAGAGGGGGGTCCTTAGTGATGTCCATCAGTTCCTTCTCCAGGCGCTTTAGAGCCGTGGACGAGTCCACAGGAGCAGGCCGTGTCTGGGCATTCTGATAGAGACAAGGGGGGGGCCACTGGTTAGGGGGTTACCATGGGTTAGGGTGGGTGTGGCTTAGGGGGGCCAAGGTTAGAGGGGCAGCCACCCCCAAGTCCCTGGGTAAGAAGGCTGGAGCCGGGCTGTGGGGTGTGAGGGGTGTCAGGGGACAGGGATGGTGGGGGGAGGGGGGAGGAAGGGAGAGCTGGGGACTTGGCTGGACCTGAGGGGCTACTGCTTACCTGTGTCCCGCTGGTCCCTGGCTCCTCCGTGTCTGCCTCCTCCATCCCTGGCTCCTCCATCTGTGGCTCCTCCATCTGTGGCTCCTCCATCTCTTCCTCCTCCATCACTGGGTCTGCGGCTCAGACCCTGGGCCCCGAGGCTGTGCTGCTGAGACACACCGCCACCCCGCAACACGACCAACCGCTCCTGCCGGCTTGCCTGCCTCTGCCGTTGGCCCTGCCATGCACACTGGGTGCCTGGAGACAGGAGGGGATACATTCTGTGATGTCACAAGGGCCCGTTGGTGATGTCAGCAAGTCTGTGGGGGCGGAGCCAAGGGAGACAGTGGGCCTAACCAAGACAGGGTAGAGGGAGGGAGAGACCATGGAGGAGAATGGGGGGGAGGGGGAGGGTCCATGGAGGGAGAGGGAGGAAGGGTAGGAAGGAATATGGAGCAAAATGGGGAGACGGGAATAGGAGGATGGAGAGCAGGAGGGGCCATGGAGGGGGAATGCAAGGCTCTGGAAAAGCAGGACTGCCCATGGAGGTGAATGGAGGGGTGGAGGGCAGTAGAGACCATGATGGGGAATGGAGGATGGGAGGGTCCATGGAGAGGAATGAGAGGGAATAGAGAAGGTGCAGGGTGGGTGGGACCACCTAGGGGATTGGGGGATGGGACCAAGGAGGGGAATGATGGGGAGGCAGGGCAAGAGGCCAGGGGAAGGTGAAGGGGGAGGGGTGAAAGGAGCCCAGACTCCCTGGCTGGACCACCATGGGCACCCTGCTCTGGTTAGTTGGGTCTCAGGCACTCCCCCATTGAGAGTCACCCGAATGCAGAGGAGCCGTTGGTTCCGTGAATTCCCACACCCCTCACACACCCAGACTCACCTCCGTGAATGGTTCCCCTCCTGGCTTTGTGCTAATCTCTCTCCCCGCCATTCTTGCTACTGAGCTTGCTCTCCCTCTCTTTCTATGGACACAGATGCCCCGGGGAGTGATTGTCAAACGTCCCCACCCTTTACTTCCTGATGCGGCCTGTGTGCTTCCTGGGAGAGACATTCTCCCACATATTTAACTTTAGTTCTTCTAACCATGTGTGGTTTGGTGCTTTACAATTCAAATGCCCAATTGAATATATGCTCAAATAAACACCGAATAAAATATGCTTCAGTTTGCTTTTTAAACTATCAAATACATGAAATGTATGTATCATAAATACACTTTAAAATCATTTGTCCTCTTGGTAGGCTGCTGTAGAATATTTTCTATAATTAAAAAGGAAGTTAGGGAGGATGCTGGGAAGATGGCGATGGAGTAGGACGGAGCCGATTCTAGTGCCCATACTGGTGGGTGAAAATCCTGGCAGACCTATAGAGAAGCAGCGCAATAATCCATCGGTTATCCAGCATTTGTGAAATTAAAAGAACAAAGATTGTGACAGATGCTGAAACACCAGAAAGCGGCAGGATAGTGCGGTCTTGGGGACTGGAGTAAAGACAAAGTGGCAGCAGGGGCCAGCGCCCCCGGCCAGGTGGCCCCGGTGGAGCCTCTACAGCCAGGGACCAGAGCCATCAGTCTGAGACCAACACCAGAGGTGTCTGCCACAGGAGCCTGGGCACCCAGTGGCCCCAGTGGCCACCAGCGCGGGCCAGCAGCTCCCCCGCTCCCCATATAAGCAAAACTGGACAACGCCAGGCAGAGACCTGTCTGTTTGCCGGCTTGCATTATCAGGGAGGGTCACAAAGACACAGGGCCTGGTTCAACTGCAGACTCTGTGGTCGCAAGCCTCGAGAACTGAGAGACGCACTGGCCTCACTGGTCTCGCTGGGGACTGGGCTGGACTGAGAGGCAGGCTGTCTGGAGAGTTTTGTTTTTTTTTTTTTTTGAAAGTGGACTGAGGTGTTCTCCTGCCAGGACAGCTTGGCTTGCTCCCACCCGGATTTGCAGCGAGCCAGGGGGAAAGCAGAGGCATTTGGGGACTCGCCACAAGACTGGGAAGCACCCTGCCAGTTTCTCGGGTCTCAGACGGCCTGGCGGGTGCACACAGGTGCAGAAGCCTCTGAGTCCCCAACACAGGACTGGGAAGTGCCTTGCCAGTTTCAACTGGCTGTTGTGCATAGATGCAGAAGCCAGGACTCTACCAGAACCTGTGGGACCCAAGCAGCTTGGCGAGTGTGCGGGTGCCCAAACCCCAATCTGGTAGCCTGGCTGGTGAGCACACTTGCACCGGCATCCCAGCCCACAGAGAGATCCTGCTGCAACCAAAAAAACCAGTCTGGACAGTGTGAAACCAACAAGGGAAGGGTTTCTCTGTTGTTATTGTTATTTTTTGTTATTGTTTGTTTGTTTATTTTTTGGGGGGGTTCTTTTTTCTTCTTTTTTCCCGCCTTTTAAAAAAATTTGTGCGTTTGTTTAGTAATCTTATATATTTTTTTAATTTTATCACTGCTTTATCTTTCTATACTTTGTTCCTCTCCTTCCTTTTTCCCTGTTTTAGTCCTTCTTCCTTTCCTCTTAAACTCATCACTTTTGCCTCCCGTCTCCTGCATTTTTGTTTGATTATTTGTTTGTTGCTTTATTTCCTTTTACCCACAAGAGACACAAACAACTAGGCACTGTGAAAGGACCAGAATGGGACCAAAAGTGGGGGCATCTCAACAGTAGAGACAAAGAGACAAATTTCACCTTCCTATAGCAGAGAAGCCATGAGGTGTTGCATAATTTTTTTTCATTATTCTCACTTATTTTATATTTTAATAAAATCTCTGTATTCTTCCTCTTTCTGTATAGGCTTCTCAGTCTTGAGTATTTATACTGTATTATTAGACAGGCTCTACCTGTCCTTTCCTCCACAGTGCTTTGCTAATCCTCTAAACTCCACGCCACCTGTTTTCCTTTAGCACACTACCTAAAGCTCTATACCCCCTACTCAGGGAGATGACATAGACTTTGTTATATGAGTGCTGCTCTAATATTAGTGTAAATAATAGCTGATCTATACAACTATAAATACTTCACAACACATCTCCCGGATCTCAGCCCATTGTACAGGTCCCCGAATTCTATAACTGCAGTGATTGACTCTATTTGCTCACACACTACAGCTATTTACTGTTCCTTACACTCACCTTACCTCAAAATCTTACCATCTTAAACTTCACTGCTTTCTAGTTCCAACTAACAACACTTCCCTCCCCAACAAGAGGCTTATCTTTTCTCCATCCTCTCATAAAAGTGGCAAGTGGAGCTGAAGAATACGGTTAACACTATATATAGCCTAAAGATCTCCTATCTCCTCTCTACCGGCTATGACTGTAAATATCATAAGAAACTCTTCTGTTGTCATAAACCATTTTGCCTCCCCCTCCAACTGATTACACATACACACTAAAAGGACTAGGTGGAAATGGAACACATCCAGATACCTGAAGGAGTCTGCACCACTGAAATTCACAGGTATTATACCACAAAGGTTCACACCATAAACCCAGGAAGTCAGAACAGATCAATTTTAGAAGCTGAGGCTAACAAGAAGAGTGTCACAAAAAAAGAGAAGACAAAGAAACAATCCCAAAATGAAATAAAAAGCAGAAACCTCAGAAAGAATGTTAGATGAAATAGAGGCTAATCAACTATCAGATAGTGAATTCAAAGCACTGGTTATTACAAAGTTCAAAGAGTTCACAATGAGCTACCAGAAATTACAGGGGAGCTTCAATGATCTCACTGAAAACTATATCAACATGAAAAAGGAAATAAAAACTATGAGCAAGGGACAAGAGGAAATGAAGAATACAATTTCAGAATTGATGAACAAAGTAGAAAGTTTCAAAAGTAGAATAGATGAGGCGGTGGATTGGATTAGCGAGTTGCAGGACAAAGTAGAAAGCATCTCACAGAAAGAGCAGGAAAATGAAAAGAAACTCAGAAAGAATGAAGAGGGATTAAGCGAAATACAAAATATTATGAAACATAATAATATCCGAATAATAGGAATACCAGAAGGAGAAGAAGAACAAGCAATACAAAACATATCTGAAAGATTAAAGAGAGAAAATTTTCCTAATTTGATGAGAGAAAAAGTCACACAAAATCAGGAATCACAGAGAGTCCCAATGAAGAGGAACACAAAGAGGCCCACTTGAAGACATATCATCATTAAAATGACAAAATTCCAAGACAAAAAGAGAATCTTAAAGGCCCCAAGGAAGAAAAAGGAAGTAACATACAAGGAGCCCCAATAAGGTTTGCTACTGACTTCTCAATGGATACACTCCAAGCAAGAAGAGAATGGCAAGAAATACTCCAAGTAATAAGAACCAGAGGCCTACAACTAAGGCTACTTTACCCAGCAAGGCTCTCAATCAAGATAGAAGGTGAAATAAAGAGCTTCCAAGACTAAAGAAGTCTAAAAGAATATGCCTCCACCAAACCAGCTCTACAAGAAATACTGAAAAGACTGCTTCAGGAAAAGGAAGGAAAAGAGGAAGACAGAGAAAAACAAAGGTACAAAAATGGCAATGAATAAGTACCTATCAATAATAACCTTAAACGTAAATGGATTAAATGCTCCAATCAAAAGACACAGAATAGCTTCATGGATAAGAAAGCACGACCTACACATATGCTGCCTACAAGAGACCCACCTCAGGACAAAAGACCATCACAGAATAAAAGTGAAAGGCTGGAAACAAGTTTTCCAAACAAATGGACAAGAAAAAGAAGCTGGGGTAGCAATTCTCATATCAAACAAAATACACTTCA